AAATATATATATATATATAAATATAAATATAAATATATATATTATTATATCGTAAACTTTTGCAAACAACTCAACATGTTATGTAACATACCCATTTGACAACCTATATTCCAAAATTCCTGAGGATTATAATTAGAAGAGTCAGTTCTTGTTGCTTTGGGATATATTCTAGTAATGAACTTCCTTGTGTGAAAAATAAATTCCTGTGCTAAAAGAAATATATACATATATTAAAACATGGATGAGTTCAAATAAAAAATAAATTGGCTACTACTTCTATATATTATACATTATGTATTTCTAAAATAGCATCAATAATTTTGTTATAACAACTTACATTTAACTTACTTTATTTATCTATGCTAAGAAAATTAATCAGGTTGAATACTTCACAGATTCTCAAGATTGAAATGGACATTAAAATTATCCAATATCTGTAACTCATGAAAATAAAAATAAATCTATACCTTTATGTTTGACAGTTAAATTCGTTGTTAGTGAAGTTAACAATTTTAATGTACTTTGTATGCATACTGATAATACTTGAGGTGAAAATGGATTAGAAATTTATATTTCTTTGTTGCCACATCCAAATCAATTTCATTCTGATATAAGAATATGTAGTGTTCCAGAATAAATAATCTCCTTTTTTTTTTTTCAAAACAAAAATAGCACCTTTTCCCAATTTTGTTCTTTTTAATTTGGTTTTCATATTAAGGTAGAATCACTTGTAAGTGATATAAAGCTATACAATGTTAAGAAAATTAATCAGGTTGAATACTTCACAGAATCTCAGAGTTGAAATGGACCTTAAAGTTATCCAGTTCAATACTTATTTCCCCACCTCAACATCTTTCTCAAAAACTCAATCTGTTTGCATCCTTCATTTGAAAGAAAACTTACTACCTCACAATATTTCTAATTATTTCAAAGGTCTTCCTTACTGAGACAAGATCTATATACTTAAAGCATATGTACATATATGTATGCAAACATACATGTATGAGTATACACATATATATATAGACATGTATGTTGTTGTTGTTGTTATGTGCCGTCAAGTCGGACCCGACTCATAGCGACCCCTCCTTGGGTTTCTGAGGCAGTATCACTACGGAAGTAGATTGCCCCATCTTCTTTCCGAGGAGTGGCTGGTGGGTTGGAACTGCCAGCCTTCTGGTTAGCAGTTAAGTGCCTTAGGCACTATGCTACCAGAGCTCCCAGACATTCATGTAGTCTATTTAAATCTCTATGTATTATTTACAAATACCTATTTATATGTATTCTAGTAAAATCACCTGAGGTTCAAAACTAGTTTATAGCCTTTACCATAAGACACCCCATCAAATTTTTGAACACAGATTTTATGTTTCTCCAAGGCTATTTTTCTTGCACTAAGCATATCTTGTTCCCACAGCCATTCCTGCTAACATGATAACCAGATATTTTGGTTCTCTAGCACTTCTATACAAAAACATGACAAGTGGATGGCTGTAACAAGTATAGATTATTCTCTTACAGTTTAAGGGGTGAGAAGTCTGAGTTCAAGCTGGCTCTAGGCACTGGGTAAAGGCCCCTCAACCTTGGGCTTCAGGTCTGCCTCCTGTTCCAGGCTCACTAGGAGGATTTTTCTGACTCACACAGCTGCTGACTGCTGAGCCTGATGAACCCAAGAACAGCAAGTAAGATGACACAGTCCCAGGATTAGCAAGCAACACAGTAGGCCACTAGTTCAAGTCCACAAACAGTCCCAAGATTGGCAGGCAACATGGTAGGCCACTGATAACTTGGCCAAATATAGGACCCAGATGTGCCAAGAAACTCCAGACCTTCCTCAATGTTTCTTCTAATATATTGGAAGTAGACCATACCCTGAAGACAGCTACTTAGCTGCTCACAGCAGATTTTACCATGAAGGTGATTATCAATCTCATCATGGGGAATAACTACATCCAACTGCCCAGCCACTCAAAACCACTGCCCAGCCAAGTTGACACAGAACCTTAACTACCACACCAGTCATGAGAAAATGATTATTGTCTATGACCCACTGTATGAGCAATCAAACTAGAACAAAATCATTGCCTCTCTGACTCTAAATACTATTCTTTGGGAATCATTGCCATGTTAAAAAATTATAACTAACTGCATTAATGCATTTTTAAAATTTATGCAATACTTGAGAGAAACTTTAGTTTGAAGTCATTCATGTAGAAATGCAGCATGCTTTCCAAGTATCATGCTCCTTCATTAGCCCTAAACTAGATGTCTGTGCTTAAGTAAAACATTTACTGTTTTACTTTTTTTTTTTTCTGTCATTTCTAATCTCTGTAATTTAAAAGCCCACAACAATATCCCAAATATATTTCTGCTTTCATACTTTAAAATTTTGCTACAGGAATCTTCCATACAGGAACATATGAATGCTGGCTGGAAAACAGGTCCTGTTTTCAGCATTCTGTCAGCCATTCAAAAGTCCATCAGATTCAGCACATAGTTTTTGTTTTTAACTTTAATTGTGATTTGGGTGAAATTTTACAGAGCAAATTAGTTTTCCATTCAAAAGTTCATATTTTGTTTCATGACACTGACTGAAATTCCCACAAGGTAACAACACTCTTCCCACTTCCTTCCCAGGTTTACCATTTCCCTTTGTCATTCTGTCTTATCCATTCCTGCCTTCTGATCTTTATCCCTGGAAAAATGCTGCCTTTTGATATCCTATAGTTGATCGTTGGTGTTATTGTTGATCTCATAGGTCTGTCGATTGTCTGAAAGTTGAGACCCAAGAGTGAATCTCAAGGATTCCACCAGTCTCTACAAGACGAGTAAGCCTGGTCTTTTTTATGATTTTAAGTTTTGTTTCACATTTTCTTCCATACATCCAGGATCTCCTATTATGATCCCTTTTCTGAGTGGTTGGCAGTGGTAGTCAGACTATCTTGTGCTTTTGGTCTCAGGGTCATAGAAGCTGAGGTTCCCATGGTCCATTTGTCCTTGGAATAATTGTTTCCATGAATCTTTGATTTTTATTTTCTTCACTCTGCTTTGTTCTGGACAAGAAGAGACCAATAGTTGCACTTTAGATGGCTGCTTGCAAGCTTTTACAACCTCAGCCATTACTCAGCGAAGTAGGCTGGAGAACAATGCCTTTGTGGACAATGTTATGCCAGTTGACCTTGATGTCCCCCACAAGCATAGTCCTAAACCCACATGCTCAGCAAATTCCTCCCTGAAGTGTTTGCTTATGGCTAAAATGTTTTCATAACTTTGCCCCTCATAAGTTCTACTAGATATATGGACATTTTACCGGCACATACAAATACATATATAGAAATATCATCTGCCAAGCCTATATCATCTGCCATTCACCTACCCATAACTGATCATCTTGCTTGTCTATCTATGTATTCACTACCAGCTTAATGTTTGTTATGACTGATAATGCAGTATTGTGTGTTTATAATAGTGTTTATCTTTGTTGTCTGTAATTCTTGTGCAACACTCTGTGTCTTCCTTTTCCTTAGTGACATTGTTACAGTCACCTATAATTTCTATATTGCCTTTCCCTTCACCCAAATTAATATGTGCCTCTTACCTAGTTAGTAATCTTCCCTCTTCTCCCCTCTCATCCCTGATAACTATCAAAGAATGTTTCTTTCCATATGTAAACTTTTCCTTGACATTTTATAATAGTGGAGTCATATAATATTTGCTCTCTTGTGATTGACTTATTTTACTCAGCAAAATTCCCTCCGAGTTAATCCATGTTATGAGGTGTTTCACTGATCTTTATTATTCTTTAATGTTACACAGCATTCCATTGTGTGTATGTACTATATAGTTTGCTGATCCATTCATCCATTTTTGGACACTTAAGTTGTTACTATCTTTTTGATGTTGTGAATTAGTGCTGTTGTGAATTACTTAATATGGCCCTTCTAGCCAAGGTCTTTGTTACAACCACCAGATGACTGGGTGAAACTATGTAAATATGAGGTGCTTGTGGCCCCCTAAAGGGATAGGATAGCTTTTAATAAATTAAGTAAGGTCTATAGCACCCTTGTATGGGTGAGGCCATGTAAATAAGGTGTATGGAACCCTACTGTATGTATTGGTCAGTTTTGACCTCCCACTGAGACATATATATATGTGAAAAAGAGGGATCTTACAACCATCAAGACAGAAGAACCAGGAGGGGAATGCATCCTTTGGATCCAAAATCTGAGCACTGAACTTCCTTGACTCAGGAGACAGAGAGCTGTAACTCTCTTTAACTGTGAGAGATGATGAAAAGTAGCAGCAGACCCTGGCCGAAGACCCCTGCAGCTACAGGGACCTGCATGAGACAGAGCAATGGGTTTTTTGTCTCATGAAGTGAGAAAGCTGAGTGCCTTCAGGAAGAAGGTGCTGGCAGAGTGGAGTGCCTTTCTAGGCACCTATTTTCAGCATTGAAAGGGCTTTGTAACACTTGTCTGAGCAGGACAGAGGCCAAGGGGCCACAGGGCTGAGAGGCTGATACCAGAAAGAACCGTACCCATGTCAAAGCTGAGAAGAGGCTGCCTTGATGGAAGAACTATATCCTGACCTGTTTCTGATACTGAATTGTAATGTCTTACTTCTCTAATAAACCCCATGATCATGAATATTGTGTGTGAGTTCTAAGTGGTCATTACAGCAAAGTATTGAACCCAGCAGAGAAGTAGAGAATGCTGTTGAGATGGACGGTTGGTGTCAGAATTGGTAAAAATGTTGGAGGGTGGTGGCATGTCCAACCTTGGTTTCATAGGAATCGGCCTTGGGCTGTTGCCATTGGTTTTGATCTTTCTCCAGGCTTGTTAATTTGGGGGAGTTCAGATGATGCTTCCTCCACAACCTTCTTGCAGTTGTGATAAATGTTGTTGTTGTTCAGTGCCATTGAATCAGTTTTGACTCATAGCAACAGAACAAAGTACTACCCAATCCTGAGCCACCTTTGTAATCATTGCCACACTTGAGCCAATCATCACAGCCATTGTCAGTTCATCTCACTGAGGTTCTCCTCCTTTTTCTCTGACACTCTACTTTACCAAGATTGACATGCTTCTCTAGAAACTGGTCCCTTCTGACAACATGACTGGTAGTTAAGCTTGTGTGTCAACTTGGCTGGGCTGTGATTCTGAGTGGCTTGGCAGCTGGATATAGTTATACCCCAAGATGACATTTAAT